TCCCCTCTTCTCCAGGTCTTGCTGAGCTTGGAAGTCAGGAGGAGAGCAAGTCCCGGATACCTCTCACCACGAGACCCCCGAGCACCTCATCCTTACAACCGCCTRGGAAGCCGGGCCTGCTGGGCTTGATGGGGTGGAAGCACAAGACCCCACGGCCCAGAACTGTGCCCGGGGCTCCAGCCCTCGAATGCAGCGTCCCAGGACTTCCCTCCTGCCCAGCAGCAGATCTCACCCCTTGAGAAAGCCACCTAGGCCACCATGAAATAGTGTCTGGAAGGATGAGACTCTCACTTCAGACTCCCCCCAGGGTGAGACCAGCAGTTCCTCAAAGGCCCTGGCAGCAGGGGAGCCAGGGACATGGCCCTCCCCTCAGAGACTCTGGGACCTCAGCGGGGACCTCCGGTAGCTGCCAGAGTGACTCCTCTGCACCAGTCCCCTCCCCCATGCTTTGGCTGTTCTCTCTTTTACAGAAAAACACCAGCTTCGGAGGGGCAAGTGACCTGCTTAGGCCCTGACCCCAACGACACAGCAGGAGTGACCAGGCCCCTCGCCTGGACCCCACTCCAAGCATTCCCATTTTGGAGCTGAGTGGAGTGGGGGGGGGCACATCTCAGCCTACCTGGCCCTCATCTTCCAGAAGCCAGAGGGAGGTCCACTAATGGGCAGTGACGGCCACTGACCACCTGCGGCACCATGGCAACCATTGTCCTCTGGGCAGCTGAGCTCAGGGGTCACCGGGTCCATAGCCTCTCTAGCCTCCGGGGTTGGATCCCTGTCCAGGAAATGGGCACAGCTGTGGCATAGGAGGAGCCTGATCAGGAGGGGGCAGAAGGAAGCTTTGCCTGAGAGAAAGGAGGCCAGGGAGGGACCGAGGGGGTGTCCAGGGAGGGGGGGGGAACCCCTGGGGTCTCCCCATCTGTTGTGGGTGATGAGTCATAGAAGACGGGACGCCCGGATGGACGTGATGATCATGAGCCAGACTGGCTGCTGTCCTGGGGAGGGGGTCWAGGCCGAGTCCCAAGGGCCTGGCTTTACTCAAGAGCCCACAGTGGGACAGGTGAGGGCGGCTGGGCCAGGGGGACCCTCCTGGAACATAAGCCCCCTCCCTAAAACATGACCCTCCAGGTGGGCAACACCTGGGCATGACCCCCTCCTTCATTTAAGGTCCCCTGGCTCATGGGCAAACCCCACAGGGCCCCAGCGTGCCTCCGTCTGCAGAGCTGGGGGTCCTGAGTGGCCAGAGGCAAATGACACAGGGACAAGAAGACAGCCCTCTCCAGAGCTCACGGTGACAGCTGTGCTCCTGAGCTGAGCTGAGGGACCCCTGGCTTCTGAAGCTGCACCCCGCACCCCGTGCACCATGATGCCTGTTCCCAGGTTGCAGCCAGGGACAGACGGGAGTCCCCGGCCATGGGCCATCCCCCCACACACTGTCCAGGAGGTGAGGGGCAGCATCGAGGGATCTGCCCCAGCTGCTGGCACTCAAGGGCCCTCCAGGGAGAGGCTGGCAGGAGGTGCGCTCACCTATCCTGGGCTCTGTACTTATCAGTCTCTTGTGGACAATAATTTCTTTTTTTTTTTTTTTTTAGATCACTTTATTCACCACGGAACAAAAAGCATCACGTCTCTGTCAAAATGAAGAAAAGTATGGAGAGGGAGCCGACTGCTCGGATGCGAATGCCCCACCCACTCCAGGGTCCTTCCCACCCCCAGCCAGGCTGGTGCCACC